TGGAGTGCTGCCAGGGACGGGAACACAGAGATGCTGGGGGAGGACCAGGAGGGGAAATAGCTCATCGGATGTGCCAGTGAGTCAGCTGGCTTGGGACTGCTTGCCACAGAGACCTGCAGCTAGGAGCCACCCAGCTCTGGCAGTTGTCTTCCCTGGAGAGGTGGCCTATGGCTATGAAACAAGCCTAGGAAAGGCTATAAAAATAATGTGCGTACAAAGCTATTTATATTCTCAAAACAGAGAAATGTTACGTGGAATAGAATAGAAAGTGAGAGGGAGTATATGGTACCCACATAGCTGCCACCACAATGCATTTTTTTAAGGATTGTGAATACAAAGCAAATTGCAAAGGAAATATAAATCCTGCAAAGGAAATATAAATCCTCCAAAGGAGGAGACGAGGAAGAAAGAGAAGAGAGGAGAGCAAGAGGAGAAAGAAGGGCATTTTTTTGTAAAACACTGGCACCAGGAACATACATACTTACCCTTTCCTGACCTGCCCAGGTGGGATGGCAAGTGATTTTGCAGCACTGATGCAGCACGCTGGTGGTATATCAGCCCTTTTTACCTCATGCTGGCCAGATTTTTGTAGGACTCATTAAAAGGATCAAAAAAGCACTATAATAAGTATGTGAAGGTAATGAAGGATTTATTTATTTCATTGTTTTTTTCCTCTCCCCTCGGGCTACATTTACACCCAGCTTGGGGAGGCAGAGGTGAAAGGAGAGTGTATTGAACAATTTAGAGGTGATATCATTTTGGACTCTTGAAAAATCAGACTTTAAAGACCCCAAATAAATTGCTGCATGGCTCAGCTGTAACATGACATTTAGTCTGTGTCATAAGCCTTGCTTCAAAATAGAGCCTGCCAGCTAGGGCAGCACAGGGGGCTTGACAGATGTAATGGATGGAATGAGACTTCCAGCTGAAGGAATGAAATGGTGAAGTCTGTAATCAAAACGTGAGGAGCATTTTAGGGATGATTGTAAAACAGTTGGCAGAAGGAAGGCAATGAGTGTTTGAAGGCTTGAGAAATGAGAAAGCCCAGGATTGTACCTGTACTGAAACAATGCTGAGAAAGGATGCAACCAAGAGCAGGGATCCTCACTAGACAGTGTGCCATAGACATGGAGCAAGAGATGGTCCATACCCCGGAGCGCTGACCATCAAACCCTGTGGGGACATAAAGTCAAAAGTTAGGGAACAGACTCCTTAATAAAGTACTACAAGTTTGTTTTACTTACCCTTCCCTCCTACAAGCAGCTTCCCCTGAATGGGGAAAACACAGAGGAGAGGAGGAACAAATCAGAGAAGAGCTAGAGGAGTTTCCTGGAAGAGCATTGGACTCAAATACTGCTGTAGTGTTGGAGAAGGCCAGGTCAAAGATGCACCGTGTGAGGAAATGGGGCCTGTTCTTGGAGTAACCTGCTCTAGGCACCACATTTTTGTCTATGCAGAGAGTGGTTAGTAGATAGCTGCAGAGGACTTGTCGCCTTACAACAGATTTCTGCAGTAGGCAGGATAAGCAGGATAATCAACCCCCATGATGAGCTGAATTACCTAGCCAGCTGACCAGGCAGGGCAGGGAACATCACTCGCAGGCCGAGAAATGTGTGCTTAGCTCCACTGAGCAACCTAAGCGTACATCTGAGCTCTGGCTCCCCACAGCAGTGAATCAGGCTGCTTCTCATTTCAAAGATACTGTGGTTGTGGCTCCTTCAACTCACCCACCAGCATCACCTCTGTCTTGACTGGGTTTAGCCAGTTGGCTCCTTCTTGTTGCATTTTCTTTTCTTCATCAATTAGCAGCCAGTGGAGTGGAAGTACTGTTGCTTTTGGCCCCTGTGGGTGGAGATAAGCAAAGGATTTAATTTCAAAGGACTCATTTGGGACCTTAAGAACTCAAAGCATAAAATATCAAGTCACAGCTCTAGAGGTGACCACAACTCATTGTGAACCAACAGAAGAGAGACTAATACACTGTAGGGGGCTACTGTGGGACTACAGCAATGTGTGGTTTTTCTGAACATATGGTAAAAGTGTTTGTGGCTAACACCTTTTCATTTCCAACTGACAAATGATCCTTCTTCTTCCCCTTCCACTCGCTCAATGTACTACCAATGAAAAAAAAAATGAAATTAGCATCTCTGTTACAGGTAACTTCCCAGTTTTAGGGCAGAAACTGTCAATAAGGTTTATTTTATAATAAACTGTATATAGAAACCATATCTTCTAATTGCTAGACCTATCATGTGGATTTAAAACTGTTATGTTTCTAATTGATGCAGGAGTTATAATTAAGAGAAAAAGTGGAGAAATTCCATGCCCATTGGCGGTTGAAGCATTTGCTGCTCACCTTAGCTATATCTGCAAATATGATGACAAATACAGCAAGTAAGTACGAATATGTGCGTGTGTGTGTGTGTATTTCTTTCACTCCTTGTCTGTTGCTGCAATGTTTGAGTTCTCCATGTTGAGCTGCAGCTGAGGGCCCAATCCTACTTTCACGGAATTAATCTCTGGCAAAACTCCTATTTCAGTCAAAGATCAGAAGCTGGCTCTGCACAAGGGCAAGAGCTGCACTGCTAGTGTTGGTTTGGCTCTATCTACCCATCCACCAGTCGAAAAAAATTTGAGACTTATGTCCTTAGCATCTTGTAAATGACTTTTAAGAAGTGTTGGGAAGACGAGCCAGCAGGATGATGTTCTTGGTGACATCAAATTGAAGGCTAAATAGAGAAGTCAACAAGGGTCTACCAGCCCCACAAGTCTCTCAAGCTAGCTCAGCTCTCCACCCCTATCAGCAGATGGTGTTTAGGTGATTATCTGTCCCGATGATATTTGTGTCGCCTGGAGCCAGAAGAAAAGGACGTTCAGTTGTGGATGTAAAGCTGATCTAGATGATCTGGGAGAGCAGAATGTAGATCTTTTGGCTCCTGAATTCCAATTGGGGTCCTCAGTGTTAGTTCTTAATGTAGCAGGGAGAAACAGAAACGAGTAAGAATAGCGGTGGTGAAGCTTGGCTGTGGGAGTGGCAATGAGGTGCAGAAGATTTCAAGAACTAAAAATTGAGGAGAGAAAAAGCAGCAGGGATTTTCCAAGCCAGCTCTGGGCAAGGCAGCAAGAATTCAGTAGAAGAGATGAAAGAGGAGGCGGTGATTGCTGGAGACCGATGTTGGGATCTGATGTGAGGAAATCAATACGAAAAAGAGGTGAGGTAGTAGATTTAAATGGTTACTAAAAAAATGAAAGTAGGAAAGTGGGAAATCTTACGACCTAAGAGCGAATATTCTGGCAGTCCTAGAATCAGTCAGAACCGAAATATAAGGATGTCAGTCTCTTCTAGTTCTGCCTTATGGAGAGGTGCTCCACATACCAGCACTGCATGCTCTGGCTCTACCCCCACATCCTCCCACTTGCTGTTGACAGCAGCAGAAATCATTCTTTGCTCGCAATAGAGATAAACAAGAGAAGAAGCATCAGCAATCTTCCCTAAACTGTAACGTAATGTGCCTGAGGCTTTTTTTAGTTACAAATTGAAGGGATTCAGACCCACATCTCCCATCACATGGATGTTTGTCACGGGTAAACTCGAGAAGTGTTTACTTCTGGAGTTTACTAAGAGTACTCCATCAGTACTCTTACTTAGATGGAGTGGTACAGAGGTGAGTGTTGCTGAGGTTTTGTTTCTGAGAGCAAGGAAGTCTGTTCTTTTAGACACTACTAGAAATTTCCAAAATTGTGCAACTTAACTGTAAATGATTTTCAAATACATTGCAGAAAATTCCTTAAGATGATACTTGCACTAGGTATTAAGTCCTGGGCCGCCTTCCCCTTTGGGACTGCAGAATCTTTGTCTGGGGTTATTTTTTGCATCCCAGCTGCAAGTGTTTGGCTGAACAGTGCTTTTTCTCTCCGCTTCTCTCTTGGCTTTTTAGGTATTTCATTTCTCACAAACCAAACAAGACCTGGCAACAAGTATTCTGGTTTGCCATCAGCATCGCTATAAACAATGCCTACATCCTCTACAAAATGTCAGAGGCCTACCATGTGACAAGGTATAGCCGCGCACAGTTTGGTGAAAGACTTGTAAAGGAGCTCCTGGGCTTGGAAGACACCTCACCCTCCCATTGATGCATTGTTCTTGGTGGCGTAGGCGGGGGGTGGAGGGTAAGCAGAAGAAGATACCACACGTGGAACGGCAAAGCAAGGAACTTGTGACACCACCAGTGCTGTCCTTATCCAAAAATGCCAAGTGATGCCGGTAGAGAGGTGGAAACTTTGTTCCTAGTAGCAGCTGGATGTAAACATGTCCTGCAGAACGTGCCACTGGAAAAGCTGACACAAAATTGCATATGTGAATGCCCTGTGGGAATCTGTACGCCAGAAACAGACTTAAATTAGTCATCATCTCAATACTATTGTTGAACAGGGTCATGTTGTAAAGTTCCTCTTGGGCTAAGAGCTTGTCATAAGCTGACATGGCTCAGCAGTCCTAGGTGGGCATTACAGAAAACTCTATACCTTACTTGGAGTTATTCAATTCTGGGACAAGCAACGTAAGTCTGCACCATGGGCTGTGATTGAGAGTGCCTGCCATCCTGTAAGGCATCGCTGCTGTCCTCCCAGTGTGCTAAACAAAGCAGTTCAGATACACGAACACTGAAGCAAGCGTACTGACAAACAAAACCTTCACAGGCAGGCAGCCAGGAACTGAGGACCAGTCAAGATTTTTGCTTTCTGTCTTTTTTTTCTTTCTTTGTTTTTTTAATTAATGTAATGTAAGACAATTTGATCCCAATTAGAACACAGCCAAATTAGGGGAAACCAAATACATTAGTGAATTTAAAACAGAAATACATTACATTGATTTTCTTTTTTAACCAGGATGAAACATTTTATACACAAACAAACAGTGAGTAATACTGTAAGTATTAACAGTGAGTAGAACCAGTAAGTAATACTGCCTCGCATCTTAACTGCCACAGTCAGTGTACAGGTGAGAAATCAGAATATAACAATTATATTTTTTCTTTATTTCAACTGTATTTTAAACGTTGCTTAAAAATCTAATGTAATGGACTGTTAAGTTTTTAGGAACAACAATTTCTTTCTTTTCTTTTGTAACTGTCAAGACCTTTTTGGTCCATTTTAGAACTTAATTTGGCACACAGTTGGCAGGAAAAAAATAAGTCACTAATAGCAGTATGTTTCCCATTATCACTGCGGGCTGTTCTGTAGGAATTCTTCTTGTTAGAATTCAGGGCTTGTCACAGTAGCTGTAATTAAGCAGATGACATGTTTAGCAAAATAACATAGCATTGTGTTTTACAAAAAGAACGAAGTCCAGTTGCAACCAGACCTTAAACCTCACTAAAACAGAGCAAGCCCAAAGAGTTCTCCTGTTCTGAGTAACACTGTAGAGGACAACCATCGTCATGAACTGGTGCCCATGGCTGAAACACTACATTTTGGTGCTGGTGGAATCTGAAGGCCGCTGAAGCTTTGGAAAATAATGCCGAGAGAGAGAGGTATGATTGAAACAAGGGAGAATTGATACTGAGGTAAAATACTGCCCTGCCCTCTACACATTACTGATTTCAGTCCACAACTCGATCAGCAAAAAACTCTGTGTTCTAAAGGTTAGCAGTGATGGACACAAACAGAATTGCATTAACTTACAGGGCAGAAACGGTGTTGCTTAGAGGACCAGGTGGTTTTAGGTCCCCAAGCCTGAAAGGTTTTACCAAAGAATGACTTGGGTTGATTCAAGAGGAAGGGAGTGATTGACTGATTTCTTTATCAGTGTAAACCTCACCAGGTTTGTATCTATGTATCTATCTGGCAAGAGACAATAGAGGGTAACCAACATGAATTTGAGAACTCCCCAGATTTCATCACTATGTGATGTGCAAATGCATAGCATGTAAATCATAACAGAGGAAGAATCCAGCAAGGGTTAGTAAATTACTGACTAGCCCAAAGAGCATCCTTGCACTGACATCTTTCTATTTCCACCAAAGTCTTATTTTTTTGGAATAGACTTAGAGACAGATCTCACCTGGTTGCAGGGAGAGTAAGGGGATAGCCAACTCCATGGTGGTTCTGCTTGCAATGCAGCCTGGAGACTGTCCCACACGTCCTGCTCTGCCTGCCAGCTGCACGATGTACAGCAGTGGGTTTCCTAAGCATCCCTTTTCACTTCTCAGTCCACAAGGTCTCTATCTGGGAAATGTGTGAGAAAGCACAAAATCTTGTGCATTGAGGCCTCCTAGTCTCAAAAGGAAGGAGAGGGTTTGTACCACTCCAGTCCTTGGCAATGCCAAGCTGCATAGGAGCCCAAGGATGAGTTCAAAACTTCTTGTCCCTGCAGAGAACTGAGACCACCCCTCTTCAGACTGAGTGTGTGCAGTAGCTGGTTCTTGTCAGTTTTCTAAGTATTCAAAGGGGGAGAGGAGCTACATGAAAAACAAATGTTAAGCAATATAAGCCCACGGTTTCCAGTTTTCTTAGGAAACTCCACAGAGGTACCTGGAGGCAAATGGTGTTCTTAGTGTTAGCTCTCTGCTTCAGACAATGCCAGTCCTGTAAATTTATTTTGTTGTCAAAATCAGGGCAGTAAGGAAACGTCTGACTGGAACTTTACTGATGGAGCAGTTTGAATAAACAGTAGCTGCTGGGAGTCCAGCTTCCTTGCATTTCCCTGCAATGCCGGAGCATTTGCAAGATGCACACGCCCCCAGCAGAGGCGGCAAGGTTTGCAGGACTTCCGAGGAGCCACGTGGCACTTCTGAGGAGGCAGCACAACACTCCCCAGGTATGTCGTAGCCCCCTGAGATAGATCTGGAGCCCTTGGCCAATTGTTATGTTACTCTGTATGCTTAAAGGCTTGGATCTAGGCCATCTCATACAGAAAAATGCCTTTTTTCAGGTAACAGTAGGTCCAAGGCCTTGGAATGTTTAATTTTCCACTAATGTGGGCTGTTAATTATGTGGATTACTTGAGCTAAAATCATGAGGTCCTAGCTTTTTGCCTCAGGGACTGGGTCCTGAGTAGTTTTCCCTAGAATTGGTGTTAATGGGGGATTACGCAGTGGCTGACTATTACAGGGAAGATGCTTTAGTCTCCTTTGTAAAGGAGAAAAATGGAGACAAAATTATAGCTTTGCAATGAATTTCATTTTTCTTAGCCTTAACCATCCCTCATCATTTTGAACTGGTGCCCTAAACATGCACAAACATTCCATAAATAAGCAAAAATATTTATATATATTTATATGTAGAAAATGCCTGAATTTTGGCTCTTGAAGCCACAAGCAAAAGCCACCAAAGCATAGTCTATATCCACAGATGACTATTCCACCTCATCTTGTCCATTTGACTGGGAGTGGACAGGTTTGGGGAAAGTTAAGATTTCTCATTGTTGAAAAAGCATCTTGCACTTTCTCTACATTACTACAAACGAGGCAAAGTAATTAAGGAAGAAGCTGAATAATTTTTAAAAGTTTAACTGCAGCTCAGCTTCTGTAGCGTTTCCTTTACTGCAAACTGGCTTACTCAGATTTGGTTCCCCACCTGCTTGTAACATTAAAGCTTCTCCCTAGTTAAAGGAACAAAAAGGGGTTAGTCTCGAAGTAGTGCGAGGATGCTAGTTATAGTGTGTGCGTGTGTGTTAATTGTGCAATGGCTTGTGAAACGACAGCAAGTTTGGGGTGTTGGGGGGGG